TAGCTGCACTTTATATTCGTGGTTAATAAGCGTAATAATTATTGATTTTAGGCCCTTGTCCCATATACATTTTTATGAGACATGGCATGGCATTGCTTTGGTTATGGCCACTTCAATCCCATCATTTGATCCCAACAAAGGATGCCCCTCCCATCCTATTTAAATGGTGCATTCGGGCAGCTGAACTCTGCTTGCCAATGCCCATGCATAGTCCCAGAACAGTAACTAAATTATTAGCCACTCGCAAGGGGTTAGCCATACTCACACACACACACACACACACACACACACATACACACACACACCAAACACACACTCACATATACATATGCACTATGCGATTTATGTGGCGCTCGTCGTCGAGTGTCTACGCCCTTAGGAATATTCCACACATCATAAAATTTATGAGCACTGCGTAAATGTGTTAAAATTTTATGCCATTTTGTGGTTGTTGTTGTTGTTGTTGTTCAAGTTAGGCAACCGAGTTACACTCCAAGACAGTGCAGAAGTATGAATATACATATATGCAGAAAGTGCTCAACTTCGTAATACCCAGCATAGAAACTATGGAGCTTGCTGCATTTATTATAGTATAATATAGGCATGAGTTACGCTTTTTATACCCTTGTAGAAGGAATTATAATTTTGTCATGCAATATGTATCGCACAGAAGGCGGCATCTCCGGTCCCATAAAGCATATACATATATTCTAGATCAGCAGCAACAGCCAAGTGGATATAGCAATGTCCGTCTGTCCGTCTGTCTGGCTGTCTGAAGCTATCGTCTTGAAACCTTAAATTTCTGTACTTCTATTGCAGGCAGCACATATGTCGAAGCCGGCCGGATCGGCCGGATCGGACCACCATATCATATAGCTGACATATAGCTGATTAAGGGAAGGTCGCTCGAATAGTAGGACCTTTTATCACTATTCTCACATATCTGAAAAAGGGAAATGTCTACAAGGGTATTAAATCTTCGGCGTGGCAAAGATATCCATACTTTCTCGTTTTAATTTGGTTTTTTTTTAGAATAAATTAGATTATATTTCTTGCCAAAACTGAGCACACACTAGTTGTATTTGTCGTAAAACTACTTTTCCCTTGAACTTTTCAATAATTTTCATTAGACCGCTAACAGACAGAAAAAGATTTAAACACTTTGTGTTCCCGTTCATTTTATTTCCATTTCCTATTCCACTTTATCTATAAATAACACATAAATGTGCTTTAGACATTTCTGTGGGCTTCATGTATTATCTAGTTCTATAAAATATGCAATAAATTAACTAAATTAAACTTTTAAGCATTTGCGGTTGGTGTTAAATATCAGTGACAATGCGTGTTGAAAGGGTTTCATAATTACTTCGAGAATTTCTGATATTATAATGGGAATTCACATGCCTAATTCCGACGTCTTGAATTTTGATGCCTTCCAAATTGACTTCACATTCAAAGAAAAATCAATGTCTTAAACCATGTGTTATATAAGATTTTAATATATTACCCAAGCTCATGCGCTTTCAAGCTGTGCTAGTTAGTTTTCTTTACTGATGGATTTTTGACATAAATAAAGCAGCAGCACATCTTTGCTGCAATTGACACATGGGATATAAAATATAACAATTTTTCGAATCACATGCAGAGCTCGTTGATGCTCCTGTCAAGCTATCGACAATTGTACACAATTTGATAACTTGATCCAAAAATTATCTGACACTTAATTTCTTGTCATGTTGCATGAAGCTTGACAGGTGCAGCATGAGAAAACAAGCCAGACTGCTCTAGCCGGAAGTACCTGACTGAGGGATACCCTGAACCTTCTCCAACCAACGACAAATGCCGATCCCGCTAGAGGGTGGCGGTGGTTATAAAATGAAAGTTACTTGAACTGTACATACTATTCTTCGAGCTACATGTTAAATCTGGTGACTCTAGCTCTTCAAAACATTAAGATTTGCTCAAAAAGACAGCATGACGATATCGATTTTTATCGATTACTAGGAAACGGGGCAAGTTATCGATTATTGGAAACAAACTCATACTGCGCGGGCTCTAGGAAGACCTATGTTCAAGTCTCTAGCTCTTATAGGTTCTGAGATCGACGCGTTCACACACACGGACAAGCGGAAGGACGGACGGACGGGCAGATGGACATGGCTAGATCGACTCGGCTATTGATGCTGGTCAAGAATGTATATCCTTTATAGGGTCAGGGATGCTTGCTTCAGCCTGCTACATACATTTGCACAAAAACATTATACACTTTTTATCCGTTTTCAATGGTTTCAGGGTATAAATAAAAAGACTTATTCTCTGCTCTGCCATGTGTATCTTTATCTGTCTGTTACTTGAGGCACTCTGCATCAACTTTCTAGCTATATTGTGGTTGCAAGCTTGGCAGCTCGTCGTTGTCGTTAGTTTAGCTAATAAATCAATGTTATTGGCTTTAAAAACGTGAGCCGATTTCTCTCTCTGGACAATTGATACGCCTGGACGCCTAGGCACTTTATTATTTATGTATATACACGTTAAGTGCCGGGCTTAAGGTTTGATTTTGGGCCACTTCAATTTGGACGAGACGATGTCAGCCTATATGAAACAGCAACAGGGGGGTGGGGGAGGGGGCGTACTTGTACAAGTATTTGCTGCTCAAACACACACACACACACACAATACATTTCCATGCGCCACACAGGCACACATGCAACATGTTGTACTTGTTACATTTTACTTGCAACATTCTTTTGGCGTCGACCGCCCGCTGTTTGCCAGTTGGGCATCGGATATTGCGACGGTGTTCATGAGGCAACAGCTACGCCATCGAAATAAACATAAGTACTTGCAACAACTCGATATTGTACTTTTTACTAGCATACATTCCACATATTGAAGCTCTCTCGTGCATGGAGACCATTGCAAAAACTCCTTTTGCATCTTCAGGTTTTACATTACATTTGCATTTAAGTAAAGCTTGTGCGTGATTGAGCTGTGAATCGCAACGAATTTCATCTTTATTGTGTTCTGATTTTGGGTACCAAAAAACAGACATAATCTTTTGAAACTTTTCTATTACATAGCTTATTTTATTAAAATTACGATTTTAATTTCAAAATTCTTTGAGAGGTTTGTTAAAATACAGCACCATATTTTCCGTTAAAAACATTTATTTATTACAATCAAATAAAAATAGCGACTAATAAAATATTTAAAAGATTAGATTAGTTCTTCGCACTTTATGTATAACTATAGTATATCGTATGAGAGCTATTAAACTAAAAATATTCTAATCTGGCGAATTTAAAGAAAAAATCAGAAATTAAAAAAGCCAACAAATAAATCGAATAAAAATTCCTAGTATTCAATTCTGCACTAGAAAAATAAAGATACTTTTATTAGGCGCCAAAGTTAGAGGAATCATTCGCTTCAATCTATGGATAAGCGACCAAGTGATAGACATTTAAACAAACTGGCCCGAAATCTAATTTCTGATCAATTTATCCTATACAAAATTTCATTTGAGACGTGCTTTACGTGCTGGATGGCAATTGGGGTTCAAGATAGAACGGGTATATCTGAATTCTCCTACAAGCGCGAAATGCGTCTAAATGGAAGTGAAAAATACTCATCACGGGCAAAGCCGCATAATAAATGCTAACTGTTTATATAGTTAATTTGGCAAAGGAGTCTAGTAAGTAAGTTTGCTCACAGCGATTTATAAAATATATGGCGTAAAATATATGTAGGACAATCCGATGGACGCAATGTGGCCACTTACTTCCCGAAAGTCTTTATCTGAATTTCAGACTATTCTCTTTACTATATTGTTATTTTATTTAATATATTATATACTATTTACTCATTTATATAACAAACTAGTTTCCGACATTTAGACTTATTCTTTACTATGAACCGAACCAGTTGCCCGTAAACATCCTATCCGGAACCAGAATGAGCCATAATTTGCTCAAAAATGCTTTTGAATTTATTTAGTCATATTTAGGAGATACAAATATTGCTTTTGCAGCCGAATAAATATCTAGTATTATTTCTCATCTAGGCAATTCTTAGTAAATACGTTCTCAAAAGAAACTAGACCTAACTTTCGTGGTATGTTAATCTCTGCTTGTCAATTTCCATTTAAAGCTGGAGAATTCGAGCGATTTGAAATTGTGAAATCAAAAGAATGTCTAATAATTCCATGCAGCGGCGTATTACTGTAGACATTCACATACATAAATAAAAATTGATATTAGAGTGAATGCTGAGAAATAACTTAAACTGATGATAAAACATGTAGGAGGCAGCTGCTGTAGACAAGGCGGCTGTATCAAGGACATATCCAGCTGCTGAACATCCTTTTGGTGCAGTCACAGTTGACTTGGCTTGCATTCGATGGATGGCTGTAGCTTGTATGTGTGTGTGTGTGTGTGTGTGTGTGTGTGTGTGTGTGCATGCCCATTCATATTTCTTTTCATTTGCCACCTGCTGTTGCCGTTTGTTACTTGCCATTCAGTTTTATGAACAAGCATTTCAATTCGCGTTTAGCGGAAGTGGCAGCGAAATTGAATCGCAGGCTGTAATTTCCGCTGCACACAAAAGCAGAAGAAGCTGGGCAACACGAGGCCGTTGCGGGTGCCGCGGCAGAGGCAGGGTGCAAGTGGATACATGAATACAGAGTCGACGCCAGAGCGTCGCTCTGAAATATTAAAAACTAACTAAATGTCAGTGGTGTTGTATGTTGAAAGCCATTAGTGGCAGGTATTTAAAAATTAAAAGCAGCACAAATATACATCCACACACACACACACACACATACAGTCGTGGTAAAAGTCCAAGTAATCCGTGTCGCCCACACAGACCTTTACACGCAAGCCGAGCTGCTCCCAAACAATTTGAATTACTTAATGAACTCACTTAGGCAACAGGGTACAGTACGGAAAGGCGGACTGTGGACTGTGGACTGCGGGTTGTATATAAACTAAACTATAAATTCTTACCTCATAGGAGCCGGCCGTATCGAGTATATCCAGCGTTAGGCTAACGCCCGCAATTGAAAAGTTCCCCTGATGCATTTCCTCGATGGTCCTTTTATATTTGGTGGTAAATGTGTTGTATAGAAATTGTGTGATTATCGAAGTTTTTCCCACTTTAGCCGCGCCCATGACCACAATTTTATGACGTGCATTTGCCGGTCCAATGGCATCGTCCACTGCATTATTCCGGCCCACTCTGTGGGAGAGACAGACAGAGTGTGAGTTAGAGCGTGAGAGCGAGCGAGAGAGTGAGAGAGTGAGAGAGTGAGAGAGAGAGTGATAGTGAGTGAAAGTGAATCAGAGTTAGTGTTCGCGCAGGAAGAAGCGAGACTGAATAAGTGAGTAGTGCCACAGCAAAATTGACTTGCAAGTTGAGTTAACTTAAATTGAATTATTTTTGCGTTTTTCATGTTTATTAATTTAATCGTATATACGCAGGCAGCAGTCACATACAGCACATACATATCTACGACTGCGTAGGCTACTGTGTGCCGCATAATAATTAACCATGGGACTGTACAGAGGGGGCTGTAACTCTTCAATCTCCACAGCGACTCATTAAAACTGTGCGCTACATTTAAAATTAATCATTTTGCCGCCAGGACAAAGACGAGGCGCCCAAAGACTACAGCAATGCGAATGACTGTGTATAAAGAGATAAATATATATATGTACACATATATAAATATATATATGTATGTATACAGATATACAGACTTATTCAGGCCTGAAACGGCAGCGTTTTATAATGAGTGATATTTATGCAGGTGTTCAACGAGCTACCAGCTTTGTGGCACACAAATGACCTCATTTCATTTTCTCAGTTCAATTCTTTTTCATTCTTCTTTGTGTCTAATTCGCCAACGTTTCACAGGCCTGAGAATATATAATAGTATGTATACTCTGTAGGTATTATTTGTGGCACATAAATTAACTGATTGCATTTCACTTTTCAATTCTTTTTAATTCACCTTTGTGTCGACTTCTTTAACGTTTCACAGGCCCGGGAGTAAACTGACAATATTATAAACTTTTCAGGCATTATTTGCGCTCCGCTTCAGTTTAATTCTTAGAATTCGTTTAGTGGCTTTCTATTTGCTGCCTCTGTCTATCGACAGCCTTCGATAGTACTGTGAAAAGTTGCACAGCTATCGATAGTATAGGAAACTAATCAGACATCCTTCATTTTAATGGGATATTTTTTGTAAATCCCAATACTTACAAGTTACATAACGATCGATAGCTAGCTAGCTGGCGACCATCGGCTATTTAGTTGATCGATTGTAATCCTTATCGACGTTTTTTGGGTCGTTATATTGCTAAGCTTGAGGGCCGCCTCACCCCTATGTTATCATCATGTTTTGCTTTGAGTTTGATAAATATTTCAACTTTTTCATTGCCAAGGATTTTATGTATTGATTGAATTTACCTGTGATTGGCAAACAGCTTTCTGTTTGCTGCAAATTTAAAATTTTTTCAACCCAGCTCAGTTTCAGATGTTGGCCAACACATTGAACGGCTGAGGGACAATAGAATTTCAATTTCAATTTCGCTGGGGCCCAGAGCAGCTGGCAGCCGACAGTTTGATCTAAACAACTTATAAAATTATTCTCTTTTTCAACGAACTGAAGCACGTTGAATGAAAAAAAAAATATATATATATAAAAATAAAAATAAAAAAAAAAACTGAAAATAATCAGCGCAATGCGGCTCAAAGGAACAAATGAAGAGCAAGAGCAAAAACAAGCAGTAAAAGCAACAAAACATAAAATTCTTTACTTGGCTGGCGAAACAAAAGGAAAGTATGCAAACGATGGTCCCTTCGTCCAGCGATGCGGGCGCCAGCGTCCAAATCTCTGTCCACTTTCGTGTCCGGGCACCGGACAGCAAATCAGCCAGAGAAATGTCTTATCATTGTTGGTATGGCTATGGGTTCGCCTTGGTGGCCAAATAATAAGCAACAAGAGAGTGTCTTAAAACTTGAAACGTTGCTAAAAGGTAATTGTTGTGGGAAAAAAAATTAATCTGGCAAATGCCGTTGGGCAGCCAGCCCTACCATAGTTGGCGGACATGCAGGTGACATCTACTTCTTGGCCAACAGCTGGTCTTATTACCACTCTTGCTAACAATTTGTGACAAAATATGACAAAATAAGAAAAAATGACAAGAAATTACAAAACTTGGTCAAGCCTTTCTGTCATGAAACTTTTTATTAAAATACAAAGCAATATTTTTAGTTTTTTATATAGATTTAATATTTGACATTGCTTTTAAAAATTGGTCGCTCATCTTGTAGATAGATTGTTTGTTTAAAGTTTCTGTTCTAGAGTATTTTTCTTAAAAGCCGCCGTAAGCTTATTCCCTTCATCTGTTATTTCCAATAAATACTTTTATAGGCCTAACGCGGCATCTGCCCTACTTTACTCGGAATATATAAATAATCACAGGCTTTATGCTTTGAAATCTGGCGATAATTAAAATACAATTCGCATTTTATTTATTTCCCTACAGACCTACTTACATATGTCAGCGGTTTAATTTTAAATTCCCATTTTAAATGAAATCTGTTTTTAATTAACATAATAGAAAATATATGAAAGCTTTAGTATGACGAAGATTGAATACCCTTTGCTGAACATGTTGCTGCTGTGATAACAGCTCATAAATAATATATCAACATAAAAATAACGAATTCCAGATTTTTTCGGTTATAGAAATAAAATAAAATCACATAATTTAAATATCAAACTGTGCAGCACTTGATGCATTTCGATTATAAATCAAACCAAATACAACTAGAAATATCATATTTCCACTGTAAATATAATCGAAATCAAAATGCAAAACAAACATTTATATATACAAAACTATATATGCATATGCATTCAGTTGATCTTTTAGAAAAGAATGCATGCGAGAAGTTTAAAGTTTACTCCTTCAATGCATGCCTTTAAAAAACTCAAAGTAAGCACTTTGCTTATAATTCCCAAACGGCTTAACCGCAGACCGTGGTTAGCTTCTGTTGCTTTTGTCGATCGGCATGACATGACACGACTTATCGTTACTTGTATGTATGTGTGCGTGTGTGCGTGTGTGCGTGCAGGCACGTATACGGTTTGTTTGCATATGTATTTGAGGCTATAACTTACTTGTCACGCTTGGGTTTATCCTCGGCGCTGTCATCCTTCATGAACGAGGGCTGCAGGCTGAAACGGCGGCGCAAGTGACGGCCACGCATTATGCTGCTGTTGCTCTTTGCTGTTACTGTTGTAAAAGGTGCTAGCTTGGCGAAGGATTGATGTGCGTTGGTAACTGTAAATCAGGCGAAAAATCCCGTTATATGGCAGTGGAACCAGCCACCGCTGAGTGCTAACTCGCTCTCGCTCGTTCTTTATCTATCTCTCACTTTTTGTTTGCCGCTCGGCTTGTCTGTCTGCTCCTCGATGTGTTCTTTTTGCTTTGTGGCTTTGCTGTCAGTGTTGCATAAATTTTATAGAATTACCAGAGCCGCTCAAAAGACGTGCTGCACTTTATTAAGTATTTTTAAGCTGTCGCGTTTTTTCCACGAATGTTTCTGTAATTGTTGCTGTAAATGTATTTTTGTAATTCGTATCTGAGTGGTGCTGGCTAACTGTCAGGTTTGTTTTCGAGGGGGGGGGGGGGGCCGACGGTGCGGGCTCTGTAAGTTGGCTTAGTTCATTACTTATTAGCCCGACAGCGTTTTATGCAAATATTTGTAGCGCGCTCTCGTTTCGTTTTAATTATGTGGCCCCAGCCAGCTCCACAAAAATGTAAATGTACCTGCAAATTGAAAATGTCCGTAAGTTGAGTGCGAGAAAAGCAAAAAAAATATATATGTATAAGAATATAGCCATAAATTACAAACTGTTTAAGTGTTTTGCAGGCCGTCAACAGTGTCTAGACAGAGATGGCAATAGAGCCAGCGGCGACAGAGCCGTGTGCCGAAGCTCCATTAAACTGTTTTGTTTATCTAGAGGGTTCCGGCCGGTCTTTTGGAATTTTCAAAAACGTCTAGCTTTGGCACGGTAAAGATTAAATACCCGGGCACAATTTAATATAAATTAAATTGCAGTGTTACAAAATCGGCGTAAAAGTGTTGTCAACTTTGCCAAAGTCAATTTTATGGGCAGCAATTTATTTGCCGTGCTAGAGCGCAATTTCCGAAAACTGTGTTAAATCAACAAATACGATTTCCGGCCAAATTCTATAGCCGGCTGTCACGTAAAATTCATGAGCTCTTAGAATGTACTTTGCTTTGCATTTCGCTCGAAAAATCGGATAGCACAACAGAGCTGCAAAGATTTAGGTTTTGGATATGAAATGTACTTTAAACTTTAAATAAGTTTGAGGGGTCAAACTAACTACTTCTACTAACTACTTCTGCTGATGACAAAGGATTTTAATTAAATTAGAATATTTGTTGTTTTTTGTAATTAATTTACTTCTGTTCAACAAACAACTGACATTGAACTTTCAAAGTTGGGTAAGAAACAGCTAAGCCTGAACATATTTTTGTTCAAAAAAATATTTTCTTTAATTTGGTCAATTATTAGGTTTTTCAAAGTGTGCCAATGTCACAGTACTGTGAGTTTTTAAAAAATGTTTTAATCTTCTTAATTAATTTTTGTAAATTAAGTACATTTAGTTGCAAACTGTGCGACGGATATATACATAGATGGGATACGCACATACACAGAGACATGGCAGCCAGGGACTGAATATATGATAAAGGGGCAAATACCCTGCGTTAAGCTAAAGCATTATTGTCGTTGCCAACTAAGATAATTAAACTTAAAACGCAGCCATTTGCCGAAAGTTTACCAGTTGGCATCTGCACTGAAGTTGTGCGCAAAGTAATTAGACAAATTTATGTGGGGCGTGCAGCTGAAAGCTGCTGCTGATGCTGCTCCTTAATTTTGTTTATGTTTGCCGCCAAGCTGGGCAAAAAGTAGCTGAAAGCCGACACCCAAGCTGCCGAGACCCAGCAGAGCCCTGTGAGAGAGGGAGAGAGCCCCGAGAATCCGGCACAAATGAGTAGCACATGGTTAACAAAACCCAGTTGCCAGCTTTGCAGACATCATTTTCATTTTGTATTTTCATTTTTTCTTCGCCTTACCATGAAATTAAGACAACCCGACTGGAGCATACCCGCACCGAGTTCTCATGGAAGACAATTTAGCTATAATGAGCATAAAATTTAAAAATCTAGGAATTTGCTTTAGGTAGAATGTATTTGAGCGGAGAGAGTGTAATATTAGATTAATATGAATAACAAAATTGCCAAATACGAAATGTTCATTAGTCGAATATACCCTTTAGTTGGGGTGTAAGCGGCATATTACGATTAAAACAACTTAATGCAAAGTTTGCAAAAGGCACAAAAGCAAAGAGCAACAGTTCGCAAAGTTCAGAGGCTTAACTTATGTTTTTTTAAAGAGCCAAGCAAAATTAAAGCATTCGTTGAGAAAATATGTGTATTTAAATAATATATAAATATATAATAATAATAAATAAAAATAGTAAGGTTTTGGCTTTGTCATAAAACAATAATATTATTTTAATTATTGTTACTTATTTGAATTATCTCATTCTAATGTAAATCTCATGTAAATCAAGAAATTCCAGCTATTCGAAAATTATCTACACACAATAAATCGTTATGAAAACAGATATGGTACAAAATGTGTCAAGTACGCTAATTTTGTTCAAATACAATAAAATGTAATTCCATTGAAAATTTTAATGAGAATTTCAAACGAAAAACTTATACAGCGACAAAAAAGGAAGTATAAAGGAACTATATATATATAGTTGTAATAGGTAAACAGCACTGAAATTGCGCATTAAAACAAATAGTCATCAGGTTTTCAATGGTAGTTTTCTTTTGGTTCCTTTGAAAAGCCAACATTGCAAACCATGTGGAAATTGTGTTTGTTAGTGAGAAGTCTGCTTGGCTGATGTATGCACGAGTTGTTCGTGTCAACGATTGAACTCATTAAAACCGACTACTGTGAGCAGTACAAAACCATACGATTCACGCCCATTGTGCACGCCCGCAACTGACAGATGCCGCATACAGCAGGGGGTCACATCAAGAGCAGCAATCGGGGCGCTTTTAAATTCAAAAATTCCATTGAAAACGAAACGCAAATACATGCGTGCTTGCATAATGGGTACACACATACCTGCATATAAATCTATATATGTGTATACATAATTGTATAGATATGCTGCCTGCTGCTCTGCTCTGAGAACAACAACAACGATTACACAGCTTAATTTTGCATTAAACGCGCTCCCTGATTTCTTGGAATCCGAAAAGTCGTTTCGAATTGCTTTGACAAAAACTTAAAACCAAATTATTCAAATGCCTGCAAATTGCATTCAGTCCAAATGCCACTCAGACTCACAGATAACAGACCAATAAGCTGCTAAGTGTTCAGATTATTGCGTATTGCGCATATTTGTGGCCTATGAAGCGCAAACAGAAATGACCAAAATGCTCAGTAGTAAGTTTCTTAGCTCTCGTGTTTGCATATGCCACCTGCTTGTGTATTCAAAATATATTTAAATATGATATATTAAATATATTTAAAGTCGAAACTGAGTGAGTTTTATTTAATCGCAATTTTTTAAAATTATTTTACGAGCTACAAAATAAGAATTTATTTATTTTGTGCCAGCTTTTGCATATGAAACGATTATTTTTGTGGTCAAAATTGAATTTTCCCCCCCAAGAACTTTCGAACATATTTTTTTTTCAATTTAATCACAACTCTGCCACCCACAATTTATGCGCTTGGACTCATTTATGGTCTTCTGAAACAAAAATTATTATCAAAGTTTACACTACATAAATTGATTAAATTTAATGATATTTTTTGGTTTTCAGTATTCTCTCACTAAAAGAATATTTGTAAATTTTATTTAATAATTTTAGCTATAAACATTTTCGTACCGAAATAAAGGTGCTAGTTTCTAATACAATTTATGTCTAATAAATATGTACGAACGTACTTAAGAAGATATTTTGCGTATTTTTCATAGCATACTTTTTTGGGCATTTCTTCGAATTTGCTGTCGCTGACAGACGCTCATAATTGTATTAGAGAAATCAGCAAGGAATACCAGTGGGAACTGTTTTTGGATTGCTCCACAAGGATATTGAAACTTTTATGCCATATATATATATATATATATATATATTTTTTTGGCTCTTTGTGAGCTTGTCGCCGAGGGAAGCATTTTGAGGCTTGAGGCTTGAATCTTGAGTCTGGTTGGTATGGTTGCTTAAATGTGCTTAGGCATGTCCAAGTTTCGGCTTTTTGGGGCAGAGGGGATGTTTGTGTGTGTGTGTGTGCGTCTTAAGACGTTTTTGCGAGCATAGCTGGCCCACTTCCGGCCTGCCCCCTCTTGGTAACTTTCGTTGCGGCTTAGACGCAAAAATTTGTTCAAGTTAAACGAGTTGAGGAATATTGACTGCAGCCAGTTGGGTAAATGGATTACAGTTTGCCGGACCTGGATATGGAAAGCCTGTGGTTGTTGCTGCACTGAGAATTGCTAGCGGGCACAGATAGATAGCTGGAGAGAAAGAATGTATGGCATTCCCGATGGTCAAGAAATACTTTTGCGGTTTCTCATACAGCAAATTTGTGATCAATTTTGGCATAAAGTTCAGGTAAATGGCAAAAATCAATGTTAGCAAGTTGCATCTTTTGATTGGATAATATCGCATTTTTGAACCTATGCCGTTTGCAATGATGCAGTTTGATTGAAATGATGTGCGAATAATTGACATTATCGTATCTGTCATGGCCGCAATTAAACGGAAACATGAAAGCACAAGTTGTATGCTTTTGAGTTTAACCTGAAGAATGTTATTAATTTTAATTAAAAAACTATGGCAATCGATACGAAAATCGCGTTATAGTTGTTCATTAATTTGGCATTTACTCAATTAACATTAATTCAGAAAAGAATTTGGCTTGCTTTCCAGTTATGCAATGGCATTTTTTTTAGCATAGAAGAAGGAAAGGGGAGCGCTTTTTTGTTAGCTAAAAAGAGGAAGAGAGCGAGAAAGTTTTGTATATTGATAGACATATGTATATTATTAAAAATAGAAATAAATATCTTATATGCATTTACACCTCAGCTGAAAGAAAATCGCATAACAAGGCGTTTCACATTTGTGAAGAAATAAGAATTATATAAAATAATTGATGTTGGCTTTAGCTTTTGTTATGTGTTATGAACTCGACAGAAGGATTTGGCATTATCGTTTCAGCAGGACGTGCCGCTTAGCACTATATAAAGCCTTTGGGTTCGAAGAAGTCTTTTGTTAGACACACACACACACACACACACACACACACACACACACACACACACACACACACACACACACTAAGGCTATCAAATTTGGCGACACATTGTAAACTTTTCAGTTGCAGCTGAATCTTGATTTGTATGGGCCAACAGACTATCTGATGGTGTTGGGCGTTCGCATTTATTACGTGCAGCCTTTGGTTGCGTGCTGGCCAATTTGAGGATAATTTATTAACTTGGTTCGTTCGGTTAATGCAATTTTCAGATAAATAGCCACGCGCCATAAAATTACCG